GGGTCTGGGAGAGACCCATACCTTCTTTTGGTTTTTCTTCATTTGTGTAGATTTTTCTCTCTCTCCCCCTTTCCCTCCCATTCTTTAATTCTATTTTTGAGGGAAGGTGGGGTTGCTTTTATTTTCTTCTGCAATATCCTGTTCTTCCTTATGAGGGTCTTCTGGCTTTGTTCACTTTTCAGGTTGGAGCATAGGCTGCAATCTGTACTTTTTGCAGTTTTGAGGTTTAATTGAGAGAGAAGCTGTGGTTCAGAATGTATATGCTGGTTCTAACATCCACGAACAGGTGTATGAGCACACTGGAACCTATTTCCTTCTGCCTCACAATCTGTCCATTCAGCAGTATGTAGTCTTGGTCCATTTGGAGAATCTCACAAGTTCACCTGTGCCGTCGCCATCTTGTTCCCGTCTTCCGAGAATTCTTTTATTATTCTTTTACTGGTTATCCAGAGAGCGCCCGCATAGGGTAGCCGGGCGGGGGTCGAGGCAGCAGGAGGTGGATGTGGGACTTGGGGGCCCGTGTGGGAGCACCCCCAGTGTGGCACCAATAGGCGGGGAAGGGGGTGGCCAGGTGGTGATTGGCTGTGCTGCAATAGGCAGCTCTGGGCCAATAACAAAAGAGAGCAGGTGGCGGGCGTCCCCCGGAGTAGGAGTTCCCGCCCACCCAGCCTGGGCTTCAGTGCTGAGGGAGGACACACCCACTGCCCGCCTGCCGAGCTACTGGGCTGGCATGCTCGGTTTCTCCGCGAAAGCCGGCCATGTATCTAGGAATTAACCGGCCAGTGCGGGAGGGGAGAGGAGCGGGAAGCCTGATCTGTCTTTATTGAAAAAGATGGTTAACAGCGAGTAATATCCAATTACAATTTCTCCTTTCAGAGAACATTGGCAGAATTTATTCTCTTTTCAAATAGGAATATTTAAAAATAGCACGAATGAATAATTTGTCATGATCCCAAGAGAGATTTCTATTTTTTTAGATTATCATCAAACAAAAATTTTAAGTTATCATAAAGAGCTCTCAGACTCACAAGAACACCCCAGATTGAGAAGTATCGTCCTAGCATAATAACTACAATTTGCATAATTTGGTTTGTAGATATCCCATGAAACAGATGACATAAGATATTTTGTAACTATTCTCTGAAATTTCGAAAGGTACATGAGTCAGAATCTCAGCATTATGGCAATGCTTCACCAGTGAAATCATTTGGTTTTTTTTTTTTTTTTTTTTTGAGTTGGAGTCTCACCCTGTCACCCAGGCTGGAGCACAGTGGCCGCTCCCGGCCACCACAGCCTCAACCTGCTGGGCTCCGGCGATCCTTCCGCCTCAGCCTTCCCAGTAGCTGGAATTACAGGCATGCGCTACCACGCCTGGCTGATTTTTTGATTTATTGTAGAGAGGAGGTCTCGCTGCCCAGGTGGGTCTCAAACCCGCGGGCTCAGGCAATCCACTCACCTCAGCCTCCCAAATGTGCAGGATTACAGACTGAGCGACCGAGCCCGGCTTTTAACAGTATCCTTCTCAGGAATGTAAATTCTATATGCGTAAGAATTTTGTATCATGACGGTGTGCCTCTGCGGCTAGGTCTGATTCCAGAACTGTCACCAATGTGACAATTCTTCATTCACTCTTGACAGGGATGAGAGTGGATTTATGAGTCCTGTGCTGTCTAGCAATGCCAAGCTCTTTATTGAATTTCTTTCTATTCATTACTTAACCTTCTGAAAGGCTTAAAGTATGCAATCCATTTTTATTTTCTTTTTCTCTCCTCTACTTTTGTTGCCCAAGGCTGTAGACACAGGATTCATATTAAGGAAAGTCTTCCTGGAAATTTAAGAGAGTCTTTGTGACGCAACTACTGAAATTCTTCTCAGTCCAATCTGACTTATGGGAAAAAGCTATGTTTGGTCAGAAAGTTGAAATTTTCCATGAGGGGAACTCTTAGTAGAGCAAGGCAAGTTCCGCAGAGCCTTCATTTGGGACCCTGGGTGGCCAGAGTCCAGCCTCAGAATGACCCACTTGGTTTTTTTCAGGCAACTGTCTCTTCCCACTTCTTTCAGCCTTCTGTGCATACTAACATGTGGCCACTGAGCATTTGAGATGTGGCTCACACAACTAAGAGACTGGGCTCTTGGCTGGGCGTGGTGGCTCACACCTGTCATCCCAGCACTTTGGGAGGCCAAGACAAGAGGATTGCTTGAGCCCAGGAGTTCAACACCAGGCTAAGCAATATAGCAAGACCTCATCTCTACAAAAAAAAAAAAAAAGAGAGAGATTGAACTTTTTTTTTTTTTTTTCTGAGTCAGAGTCAAACTCTGTCACCCAGGCTAGAGTGCAGTTGCACTTTCATGACCACCACAGCCTCGACCTGCTGGGCTCAGGAGATCCTTCCTCCTTGGCCTTCCAAGTAGCTGGAACTACAGGCACACACCACCATGCCCAGCTAATTTTTTTTTTTTTTTTTTTTTGTAGAGACGAGATCTCACCAAGTTGCCCAGGCTAATCTCAAACTCCTAGGCTCAGGCAATCCTCTTGCCTCAGAATCCCAGAGTGCTGGAATTCTAGGTAGGAGCCACCATGTCTGGTAAGACTGAGCTCTTAAGTCTATTTAATTTTGATCATTTAAATTCAAACAGCTGCAGCTTGTGGCTACTATTTTAGCCAGTGCCGTTACAGAGCATAAGCTGAAATAATTTTTACTTTTTTTTTTTTTTTTTTTTGAGTTGGAGTCTCACTCTGTCGCCCAGACTGGAGTGCAGTGGCCGCTCCTGGCCACCGCAGCCACGATCTGCTGGGCTCCGGCGATCCTTCCACCTCAGCCTTCTGAGTAGCTGGAATTACAGGCATGCGCTACCACGCCCGGCTGATTTTTTGATTTATTGTAGAGATGAGGTCTCGCTGCCCAGGCGGGTCTTGAACCCGCGGGCTCAGGCAATCCACTCACCTCAGCCTCCCAAAGGTGCGGGATTACAGGCTGAGCCACCGAGCCCAGCTATAATTTTTACTTTTAAAAGGTAAGTCTATTTTATTGTTTAAGGCACACATGAATTACTTGCAGGTCTTTGATACTTAACAATATAAAACTGTTTTTAAAAGCTTTTTCAACATTAACACCAGGTCAATGTGCATTTGTTCCCATCTGTGATCATTAACTGGATTTCTTTTGAAATAAAGTCATTTAATTTTTCATCAACAGAATCATCAGAATCTTCCAAAATAGGAGGAATAATTACTGTGTTTCTGATAACAGTGATCTTGACAAGTACCATAATGACACTGAAACGGATTGGCTATATATGCTTAAGAAACAACTTCCCCAAAGTCTTGGTATGTCTTTTTTTTTTAATGTCTATCTTTATTTTTTATTTTTATTTACAACTTTTTATTATATTCCTAAATATTTTCACAGAAGAAAATCTCATTTTCTAAAAATGCTTTATCATTCTGCATTATTTTCCATCCCTATAAATATATATTTTGCAGTTATAAATGTATCTGTGCATTTTATGCTTACTTTTATATTTTGTCCACCTATTACTTATAGTGACTGCATAGAATTTTATTATTATCCGTGTACCATTTTTCACTTAAGCATTTCTCAGCTACAAGGCATTTTAATTTATTTCTTTTTCATTTATTCTCATTTTCTTTCTTTTGTTGGCCATTATGAGTAGTGCAACATTTTTATATAGATTATCTTTTTATTTTGGATAACCTCAGTGGACATATACAAAAAGTGGATTTATCTTACATAAAAGGTATTATAAAGAATTGATTTATGGCCGGGCACAGTGGCTCACACCTGTAATCCTAGCACTTTGGGAGGCCGAGGCAGGAGGATCATTTGAGCTCAGGAGTTCAAGATCAGCCTAGGTAACATAGTGAGACCTCGTCTCTACAAAAAAATTTTTTAAAAAATTATCCAGGCATGGTGGCACGTCCCTGTAGTCCCAGCTACTTGAAAGACTGAAGTAGAAGGATCACCTGAGCCAAGGAGGTTGAGGCTGTGGTGAGCCGTGATTGAGCCACTGTACTCCAGCCTGGGCAGCAGAGTGAGACCCCAACTCAAAAAAGAAGAGAAAAGAGTCTATGTGTTGCTCTTAAGGACAGTATCAGGACAATTAGTGAGACTGGAATACAACACTGTAGATTAACTGGGTGTGAAACAATAGTCCCAGCTACTTGGAGTCTGAGGCAGAAGGATCGATCACCTGAGCCCAGCAGATCTAGGCTGTGGAGAGCTGTGACTGTGCCACTGCAGTCCAGCCTGGACAACAGAGTGAGACTCTGACTAAAAAAAAAAAAAAAAAAAGAATTAATCTATAATTCCAGTGGTGATATGTAGGTGTATATATTTCTCCAGAGCCCCACTGGCATTGATTAATCATTTTTTACCACTTTTCATCGCTATTGGGTGTATAACAGACCCCGTAGTTCCTCTCAGTTGTTAATGTCATTATTAGTGGAAATAGCCATTTGTGTGTCTTCATTTGTATGCTTTGCTTCTGCTCAGGGTCACTACTCAGCCAAGACTGGATATTGATCTTACGTATTTCTAAACCACCTCCTATCTTTTGACTCAATTGCTTTTGCCCATGATTTATCATTTTTTCCTTTCCCATTGGTTGCTTTTGATATTAGTTTTGTAATGTTTCATTCAGAAAGATCTGATTTTTCCACATTTGAACTCATTCACCTTATTCTCCTGTCTTTTCAATTAGGAGAATATAATTAAATGTCGCTCTGCAATTCATACAATTGCACTTATTTTAATGTGTTGTTATCTTGTGTCTGTCTAGTATTTCTCCACTGAACACTGTTATTGTTCTACATTTAAGTAAAAACTCTAGGAATATTCAGACAGAACACTCTAGACCTAGTGTGTTTGTTGTATACATATGTTTAATCAAGAATAGAGTCCAAAATTTTTTAAATGACATCTTTTCTTTTTAAAAAATTTAACAAATATTGATTGGGCATCTACTATGTATCAACATGTTCTAGAGGCTATGGATACAGATGTAAACAAAACAAACAAAACTTCCTTCTGTCATGGAGCTTAAAGTCTGAGGAGATGGGTAGAGACTATGATGTACAGTTGCTTAAATAAAAAATTCATATGAATCTAAAGATAAATTTTTAGATTTAATATGTTTAGCTGGGCGTGGTGGCTCCCACCTGTAATCCCAGCACTCTGGGAGGTGGAGGCAAGAGGATTGCCTGAACCTATGGGTTTGAGACCAGCCTAGGCAACATGGTGAGACCTTGTCTCTACAATAAATCAAAAAAATTAGTTGGGCATGGTGACATGCGCCTGTAGTTCCAGCTACTTGGAAGGCTGAGGTGGAAGGATCCCTGAGCCCTGCAGGTTGAGACCGCAGTGGCCATGAGTGTGCCACTGCACTCCAGCCTGGATGACAGAGTGAGGCTCCAACTCAAAAAAAAGAAAAAAAAGAATTAATATGTTTTGCAAAGCTGTTGCACACAAAATCAATATATACTAATAGCATTCAATTAAAAAATAAACATGACTGGGCACAGTGGCCCATACCTGTAATCCCAGCACTTTGGGAGGCAGAGCTGAGAGGATTGCCTGAGTCCAGGGGTTCAAGACTAGCCTGAGACATTTGGTAAGATCTTGTCTCTATAATAAATCAAAAAATTAGCCAGGTGTGGTGGCACACACTGTGGCTTACTTGGAAGGCTGAGGAGGAAGTACAACCTGAGCCCAGCCAGCCGAAGCTGCAGTGGCCGTGAGCTTGCTACTGCACTCCAGCCTGGGTGGCAGAGTGAGACTGTGACTCAAAAAAAAAAAAGAAGGAGGAAAAAAAAGACACATGAAGCTGCTTTTTAGTACCCAAGGAATAAAGTACACAAAGCGCAGGTGTAAAGCTTGGTCAGTTTTCACAAACTGCACACACCCATGTGATCAAGAAAGAGAACACAACCAGCACTCCCTGAATTCTCTCTCCTACCACCTTCCACTAACCACCCGTCATCAAGGTGAACCTCTATGCTGATAGCTAATGGCATAGATTAGTTTTTTTTGTTTTTGTTTTTAAGTCAGAGTCTCACTCTGTCACCCAGGCTCGAGTGCAGTGACACGTTCATGGCTAGTTCAGCCTTGACCTGCTGAGCTCAGGTGATCCTTCCACCTCAGGCTTCCAAGCAGCTGGGCCTATAGGCATGTGCTACCATGCCAGGCTAATTTTTTGATTTAATGTAGAGAAAAGGTCTCGCCAAGTTACCCAGGATGGTCTTGAACCCCTGGGCTCAGGAAATTCTCTTGCCTCTACCTCTCAAATTGCTGGGATTACAGACATGAGCCAACACACCCAACCCAGCATAGATTAGTTTTGCCTGGTTTTAAACTGTATATAATTGGACTCCTACAGTTAGAAAATACCATTACACCAGGCGCGGTGGCTCACATCTGTAATCCCAGCACTACTTTGGGAAGCAGAGGTAAGAGGATTGTCTGAGCCCATGGGTTTGAGACTAGCCTCGGCAACATGGCAAGACCCCATCTCTACAATAAATTAAAAAATTAGCTAGGTTTGGTGGCTCAAGCCTGTAGTTCCAGCTACTTGAAGATTGAGGCAGAAGGATTGCCTGAGCCCAGCAGGTTGATGCTGTGGTGGCCATGAGTGTGCTACTGCATTCCAGCCTGGGCGACAGAGTGAGACTCAAACACAAAAAAAAAAAAAAAAAAAAAAAAAAAA